ACCAAGGCCCTTAGCAGGGCCAGTCTGCAGTATCACCGGCGCAAGCTGATGGATTTGCCGGAGTAGCTGTAGCAGTTTCTAGCACTTGGGAGAGGCCATGTTTTCCATGCGGGAAAAGGCGTATAACTGTTGCGGTCTGTGCACCAATGGTAGGAGTAGAGGGCGTTGGGAGACCATCGTCCGGGGGAACGTAGTTCCTCGCGTTCTGGTCTTCGCCTTGGCCTTTCTATTAAGTGCGGCCGTTGTGATCCGCTGTGATAGCGACGGTTTTTGTGTTGGTAGGGTTGTTTTTTTTCGAGGGATTTTGCCCGGACGCCGGGTTTCCCCTCCATATATTACCATGTTGGTATTTTCTGATGTGTCCAGGGGCGTTCTTGCCCAATTGATGGTTAGTCACTTGCGTGAAGAACCAGGGAGGGTGTTCGTGGGTCTGCGAACATTGTTGTTGGATACATGTGCTGGATGATTTTGTGACGCAGACTGGTAAGATTACCGTTTGGTAGGGGGCACCGCGATGATTCACGGGGCCCCTCCTTGCTGTGGGAGCCGCTCTTTGAGCACTCCCTCTTTCGTCCGTGTGAAGGACGGTCGTCGACCTCTCGTGAAGTTAATACATCACCAAAACAGTCTCACCCGATAAATAAGTGGCGTAGGCCGCAAACAGTAGCTGCAGAGGTCGCTCCTTCTATTCGATAAAGTTACACCATTAGACTAGTCAGCGCTGACTAGTCTAATGGTGTAACTTTATCGAATAAAAGATGTGCTCAGAGCTCATTTGCACCCGGCTGGATCACATTTTTGGGGTTTATGGCTTGAATCTCCGGGGACGGACCCCTCGCCAGGCGCTGACTGAGAACATTATGGTGCTTGGGAAAGTGAGTAGCCGGGTTTCGAACCCGTTCGTGAAACTTTTGTCGCCAATTGTCAAACCGTTTGTCTAGTCAGCGCTGACTTGTCTAATGGTGTAACTTTATCGAATACCTTCCTCCAGAGGATCGGGAGCCGTCTCCGCTCCAGACAGAATCTTATGCAAGCCAGCCTCAGACAGCAAGGATCTCGTCAGGGTCACCCAGCCCGGGAATTCGGTCGCATTCCCACTGAACGGCACATATCCTCGTTACAGATGTTAGAAGGTTGCGTTGCGGACGCCATTTGACTCGTCGTAGTTCCCTTACCGCACGGGGCTCACAACCTGACAGACGTACCAGCGAGGTCTCTCAGCTGCAGTACCCTGTAGTTGGCTTGTGTGACAAGAGGCTTGGGTAGAGAAACACAGAGTGATTTACTATCCACGCACAGACACGCGAGCTGTCTTCACCTGACGGTTATAGACTCGGAAACACGCCTTCACAATGCTGTATAAAACACATACAGCAGAATAGAGTCGGTCTTGCACTGCAAATACTCCAACATCACGCATTTATTTGCGGCGTTTGTTTACCGTTAGTGCGTTGCTTGCCGGGCTTGCCGCGGGCATCTTCCCGTGCCTGGTATCCCCCCGTGCCATACCGAAGGGGCCTGGCATGTTTCTGACATGTTCCTCCGCGGTCGGTCCGCAGCCATGGATAGGAAATATGCCATGGATACGGTGTCGGGAAGTCCTGAGACGTTCCGAGGCTATTCGATGTTCTGCCGTGCGGTGACGTGGAGGTCGATTTCCGCTCGATTCCCGCCGTCCGCAAGTGGACACAAGTGGGTACAAGTTGGGCAAAGAAAGGTGGTTCGAAATATAGAAGACGTGAGTGGGTACATGGAAAAAATTGTTGACGTCGCCGGGTATACCCACCGCGATGTCGGACAGAAGTGGGCACTCTGGTGAGGCCTTGCGCCCCTCTGCAGTATTAGACTAGGGCCGAAGGTGTGCCTGAAAGTGGGAAAAAATCGATGCCCGTGCTGTTGAAGGTCCCTGGCTGTGTCGCGCAGGTGTCAGAATGGGGTTTTGAGTCGTTTGGGGGGTTGCCTTGGGAGTGCGCGCGCGCTGGATTTTCGAGTACCCACTTCTGTACGAGAATGGCGTGGGGATACCCACTTTTGTCCATTACCCTAATAAAAACACATCCATCCGCCCCGTCCTCTGCATTTTTTTTTTTCTTCACTTCAAATCAGCGCACACGGCACTGGTGTCGTTTACCCCAACCCGTGGTCACACAGAAGAGCCCCTCTCTACTCTCCCCTCCTGCGGTGCTTTGCCTTCGATTTTTTGTGCAAGAAGAGTTCAGCAGTCTCTTCCCTCTGTGTATACACGAACTAGAGCTATCCACTAGGAGGCCAGGAGCGGAAGCGAGAGAAAAACTCAATTTACAAGAAAAGCTCGCTTACGCCGGGATTTGAACCCCTGCCTTGATCCCTTCTACAAGGTTCCGAGGATACGAACTAGACCACCGGGGCGACCGGGGTCAATGCATGCATGCGGGTGTAGACTACACTATTTGCAACTTTTTTCTGGTGAAAAGCGAGCTTCGACCAGCGGCGTGACTGCGCTCGAGAATCACCTCGCGTGTCTCACGTCATGGATTGTCTGTCCTTTTGTTTCACCCCGTGGGTGGTTACTGGTATGTGTACATTTTGGCACAGGGGCTCTTGCTACCGCTGCGCTTTCCACAACGAAGCCAACGCGTGTCAACTCTTTCAGAGAGTGCGTTGAGAGGCTCGACAAACCTGCTTGTTCTCGAATTTTGTTCTGCTGACAACATGAAAAAATGCGTAGAACGTGATCTCGCGTGAGTTTCACGCAAGCCTACGCCAAGAAGGTTTTGATTCCAACGGAGCGCCGTTATGGTGTGAGCACGGGCGAAATATCAGGACAAGAGGCTCCACGCCACACAATTCAGTGAAAAAAGATGCGTTGGGAAAATAATCCGCGCTCCTGGACGGTTCATCTTGCAACTTGTCAACCCAACAGCCTTCGACCGGTTTGGTTTTCCAGCAACACAGGACAACTCTCTGGGTATCCACTGGACAATTAGACAGGCTCACTAGGTGTTTGGACCGCTCCCTTCCAACCTCTCTCTACCCTCGACGCGTAACGTGACATAGACCGGAAACTCTGAACTGTCCACGAATAACGCCTCTTCTACTTCTTCATCGTTCCTAAATCGGTGGGGCCGACCTCACGAATCCCCCACACTACCGACAGTTTTGTCAAGTGCCCCATGGGCAGTCCATGAGGTGCCCATCATGGGCTGCTCATCAGCATGCTCATCATGGGCTGCCCATGGGCAGCCCATGGGCAATGGGCCGCCCATCGGCAGCCCATGGTGAGCACTCACGCGAATTCCCACCATGGGCAACCCCATGGGCTGCCCATGGGCTGTTCGTGGGCCGCCCATGGGCACGTGCACCATGGTAGGCAACCCATGGGCAGCCCACCGTGAACACTCACGCAACTGCCCGTCATGGGCTGCCCATGGGCCGCCCATGGGCACGTGCACCATGGTAGGCAACCCATGTGCGTCCCATGCCCTTTGCGGGCGGCCCATGGGCGGCCCATCATGGGCACTCACGAGACTGCCCATCATGGGGTTACCCATGCGGTGTCTATGGGCACCCATTCGCACCTTCGCAGCCCTCGGGCAGTGCCCAGTATTCGGCTTCCGTCGAAGACAAAGACACGATGCTCTGTGTCTTGCTACCATGGCTGATTACGGTACCTCCGACCGTCGTCGCCAACCCTGACACCGAACGCCTATCGTCCGTGTTGGCGTAGCTGGCGTCTACGTACACGGTAAGCCCTAACCCCGATCCCCGTTGGTAGGTGATGCCGAGGTCCCTCGTCCCTTTCAGGTAGCCGAGGATCTTCTGGATGGCATCCCAGTGCCTCTTCGCCGGGGCGTGGGCGTGGTGCGCTACCGCACGCACGGCGAACGAGACGTCTGGACGCGAGAACGTCGACACCCACATCATGCTGCCGATGGCCTCCCTCACCGGCCACTCCCCTCCGTTTTCGTCATCTCGCTTCGGTCCTAGGTCGACACCAGGGGAAGCAGGGATGAGGGAGGTCGATTGTGCTTCAAAGCGTTTCACCATGCTGTCGATGTACGCGGTTTGCGAGATTCTAAGAGTCCCAGCCTCTACACCTCTCTCGATAGCACACCCGTCAAACCATTCGCATTCTCCCAGATTTTTGGTGGGGAACTTCTTGTTGAGAGAAGCAAGCAACTCCTCGCAATCCTCGTCAGACCCAGCCACCAAAATGTCATCCACGTAAATCACGATAATCATCACCACGACTTCGTCTGCCATCTTGCGGAAAACACACGTGTCCGCCTTGCACTGCTCGAACCCGTTCTCGACTAGCGTATCAGCAGCGTGGTACCCCCACTGCCTACCGCTCTGCTTCAGGCCATATATCGCACGCTCAGCGTTGACAACCTTGTGCGATTTGTCCCCGCACCCAGCGGGGAGCCTCAGAAAAACCTCCTCGTCTAGCGTAGCGTG